CATTTTTATTGTCTCTTTTTTTGTTTCTTTATATCTCTTTTACTCAATAATTAAATTGATGCATTATGAAACTATTCATATATTTCTCTTTTCTTTTTATGTCTCATATTCCTAATTGATGAACTTAAGTTTTAAAGTCCATTTTACCTATACAGTCGAGTTCTATTGATATGTTCGAGGGAAATGAATTTCTAAGGCTTCGTTTCTAATTTTCATCACTTAGACTTCCTGCAGGTTGAAGCAAAATAGATCTTTCTTGACTGAAAGACTTACAATTAATTAATAAACGAATGCCACCCATAAAACGTTCAGCATCTTCACTAAAACCATAAATGCTTTCTTATGATACCTTTTTATTTATTTTTTATTTTTTTAGAGAGTTATCACCTATACTTTGATCGTAATGGTGATTATATAGATTCTTTGATTCACATTCTTGGATGTCAGTAAAAATTGCATTTTCATTATTTCTTTTGCAAAAGCCTTTTTCTATTAATTTATCAATAATAATTTATTATATTTATACCAGTCTGTCGCACACATTTTAGTGACTTTTTTTGTCGAAATATATTAAAGATATCAAGAAAGATTTATCGTAGTAAATATTGAACAAAAAATAGAAAACGAAATGTAGTTGACACACTCAAGTGGTCCATTACAGTTTATCAAAAGATTAAATATACATAAATCAATAGAAGGAGTATTTGCATATCGATTAAACTTCGACTTTTGCAATATTGACTGCAATATAACCATTTTTTTCTAATTTTTAGCAAAGAATTTATTAAGAATAGTGTTAATATTTCTAAATAATTCATATGAATAAACGAATAGAAAAGAATTGATGTAGGAAAAACAAGTGTTTTAATACCAATAAAATGTATCGAACGGAACATGTTCTTAAACAATTTGTTAATATTTTTAATAAGAAAAAGCGCGCTTTACGATTTGTTTCAATGAATACATTTAAAGTCTAGTGAAAGCATGCAAGTTGATTAAAAACAAAAAAAAGTGTGTTCAAACGCAACTTTTTTCATAGGTAGTTTTATCATTTTTCCAAGATCAATAGATTTAACGATTATCATAAGAGTTACGATATCTGTCATTAATTCAAGAGTGAAAGCAATAAATTTTCAACAGGTAATATAAAATCTATAGATAAAACGATTCAATATACTTTGTCATTTATCGAGAAGTCAATTTTTATATTGCAATGGTATTCCAGTGGAAAAAGGTTGAGAATTTTGACATTTACTCTTGCATTTTTCGTTTTTACTACTGTTCATTTTAGGTTTTTTGGTTAGCTGCATCATTCTTGATAGGTGCAGTCACTGTACTGATACCCTGTATTATTGTTATTACTCGACGTTCTGATGATTGTCCAGTACAAACAACGATTTCGACGACGACACCTTCAGGAACGACACCTCCAGTGCCGACGTCTACAGTCACAACATCTTCATTACCGACACATCTAACGACCACGTCTTCACTGATCACATCTCCACTAACGACAACAACGATGACATCTACAATAACGACATGGAACGCTAGTGATTATCAATCAAACAGTGTCTACTATGGATCATTGGCAAATCCACGTGATTTTGATCAATCGGACAATCTTCGTTTGGATCGTCTTTCATCACCTCGATTTCATCCAATTAATGGAAAAAGTATAATCTATTTAAGACGACAATATCATATGCCTGATTTACGTGGATCAACAACAACTTTGCATTGGCTCGACTTAGAAACAAATCAAACTGTTCCATTGACACGACCAATTTGGGGTGTACATGATCAACAAGTAATCATAGAAATATTTGATATATTTATTTAAACTATTTTTTGTTTTTTTTTTTCTTCAGTTCTTTTGGATAAATAATACAATTCTATTTTTGTCTAATCGAGCATCAACAGGTCTTAATCAAATTTTTCAACTTACACTTCCTCCGGATGTATCACAACTAACTTCTTTCATTGACCCAATTCAGATAATAGATTATCCATTGAATATTGATAACTTGTTAGTTAATCGACAAGCATCACATCTGGCATTTAGTTGTCAAGTCTATCCTAATTTAAATATCGAACAAACAGCTACTCAACATACAATCGAGAAAGCAAGCGGTCGTTCAATTTATCAATTTGATAAACTATTCATTCGACATTGGGATGAATATATGACAGGTCCACGTCATCATCCATTTCTTGTTCAAATCGAGCAACAAACCAATGGAATATTTAAATTTTCATCAGAACCGATTGATGTACTTTTCAATTTAGATAGTGATTCACCAACACGACCTTTCGGTGATGCTCAAACTCAATGGTCATTTAGTGCAACTGGTAATTCATTTGCATATACTCGACAACATGATGAAATGAGTTCAGTAGCTTGGACAACCAATTTGGATATTTACACTGTATATTTGAATATGTCTGAACTATCAAGTGTGTGTATTACATGCGAAAATAATGCAACCGATACTGATCCATCTTATTCACCAACAGATGATGATATACTAGTCTATCGATCACATTCAGTTCCCGGATATGAAGCTGATCAATACAAAATTAAAGTGTACAACGGTTAGTCATGTTTATTTTCATATTGACACAACTTGCATCTTTGTTCTTCCTCATTTTAGGATCGAATACGACAATAACTCTTCTCGATGATTGGGATCGAAGTATTCAAGCTGTGACATGGTCTCTCGATGGTCAATCTCTTTATCTTGAAATTGGTGAACAAGCAGAAAATGTTATCTACTATTTATCCAATATATTTACAGATCAATCAATCACTCTCATAATTAGAAATGGTACTTCACACAATATCAATCTTCATCCTATCGATAATCAAACGTTTGTCTTTACATATGAAAGTATTCTCGAACCAGCGAATATCTATCTATATTCATCGAATGATTCGATTCGATCTCTCACTGATCATAACAAAAATCTATTGGCTAAAGTTAGAATGAGTACTGTAGCCGAGAAATTTTCATTTTCAGGTGCTCAAGGTGATGAAGTTTGGGGATGGCATGTACCACCGGCAAATGGTACAAGCAGTTCAGCTCCACTTGCTTTTCTTATTCATGGTGGTCCACAAAGTAGTTGGTACAATGCATGGAGTTACCGATGGAATCTTCAATCGTTTTCTTCTCAAGGCTATGCTGTCATTGCTATTAATTTTCATGGTTCTGACTCATATGGACAGAATTTTACAAATAGTATTACAGGTGAATATGGTACTTTGCCATACGAAGATCTTCAATTAGGACTTACTTATGCTCTGAACAATTTTTCTTATATTGATTCGAACCGAACCGTAGCATTGGGTGCTAGTTATGGTGGATTTATGATTAATTGGATTGCTGGACATCCAGAGATGAGTGCTCGTTTTAAAACTCTCGTTAGCCATAATGGTTTGTTTGATATGAGAGCTATGGGTTATTCCACAGAAGAACTATGGTTCACTGAGTATGATGCAGGAGGCTTCACTCCATGGGATAATCCCGATGCTTATGAACAATTTAATCCAGTTAATCATGTTGCAAACTGGACAGTGCCAATGTTGGTTATTGTTGGTGCTCGTGACTATCGTGTACCAGAAACACAAGGAATCAGCGCCTTTACAGCTTTGCAACGTCGTAATGTCGAGAGTCGTTTATTGTATTTTCCTACCGAAAATCATTGGGTACTAAACCCGCTGCATTCAATTGCCTGGTATGAGCAAGTGTTCGACTGGATGAACAAATGGGCCAGCTAAATATATGACCTATATTATTTGAATCAGTAATGTTGCAGACTTCTTATTAGAAACTTCTTTACTTTTGACATTATATTTTTCGATCTATTATACAAGAAATGTAAACAATGATGAGAACTCAATTTTTCAGTATCGAATAAATACACTGCTTTTTGTGTTCAATAATATGTTTTTCTCATTGATTATACTAACTGCAATGATTCACATTTTAGATACAGAGGTCTGAATCGTTGCATACTCTTATCGAACGAAAATAATCACTTCTTTTATTGTTAGAATTTAACTGGAAGATCAACCTGATTATCGACACAATCGATAATCACAAAATGCATCGATTCGAGCAATGAATCTGTCGGAATCATTTCTTTACTAAGATAAATATTTAGGTTAATATTGCACAATATTTCGCATTTTGACTGATTTGTCAGAGAAATTGAAGTAATGCTCTTAATCAAAGTAAAGCTAAGCGAGGAGTCTGTTGCATAGCCCAAAGCGAATTCAGAATTTTCCCTAGACTGAAAGGATAGGGTCTAGAAACCTAAATTTTCTGTGTTTGGATCGGTTACGTCTTTGTTTGTATCGGTGACGTCTGTGTTTGTATCGGTGACATCCTTGTTTGTATCGGTGACGTCTGTGTTTGTATCGGTGACGTCTGTGTTTGGATCGGTGACGTCTGTGTTTGTATCGGTGACGTCCTTGTTTGTATCAGTGACAAAGGTCGCTTGAGTATTTTGGCCTGTTCTCCGAGGTAAATTCATCGTTTTGGTGAATTTCGTAGTCACATTCTCGGTTTATCTTTTGCCAATTTTTTCTAGCAAACTTTGAAAGAAATATCGTATATGTTCTTTTTTTTTTCAAATATCAATCTTCTCTGATTTGCTTTTCGTTTTCGTGTTTTATCGCGCTTTTCTTAATTTCACTTTAGAATATGTTATTATCATAAATAGTTTAATTTTCATTGAGTTTGCTTACTTGAAATACGAAGCTGCAACGAAATAACGGTGCCAACTCGTCTTCTACTGACTTTAATTCTTCCAGTAATATTGAAGAGTATGTGAAAATTTTCTAATTTAGTTGGATATTGATGTGCACTATCACCTTCTCTATATAGTATTTGTTCAGCGTCTTATTCTCCAAAAAGTTGCCGTCAATAGATATCCAAATGTCGACTTCTAAGGACCGAATGCGAGCTTTTCGTGCCCGTCGTGCACTCGTAGAGACTGCTGAACAAAAAGAGAGTCGACTGGCTGTTGATAGACAATATAAAAAACAGCAACTGGCTAATCTTCATGTCAATCAAACAAATGAAGAAAAGCAGGAGCATCTTGCATCTCGTAGCCAATACGAAGTGAAACGTCTAGCCAACAAACGTGCAAAAGAAAACGCAAAGGAGAGAAAAGAACGTCTTACAGCGAAGCGTGAGAAAGAAATGAACCGTCGACAAAACTTACGAGCGCGCGAGACTGATGCGGAACGAAATATTAGATTAGAGTGTGATCGTAATCAACATCGGTAAGACTCACAGTTTCTTTGCTTTTTCTATCAAACATTCTTCTTTTCTCTTTCGCTCGTAGGGCGAAAACACGTGCGAGAAATGATTCAAATATGGCAATAAACCGAAACTGCGCTGTATGTGGCTATAAAATCATGACTCAAAATTGGTCACAATTAACTATCAGATCATTTCCGAACCTTCATCGTCTTCGACCTCAGAGCGAAGAGATACCCGATTCTGTTCTGAAAATTGATTTTTCACGATTTACTAGTAAGAATCTATATTGATCGTAAATCATCATTTTGAAACGTTTTCTAAATTAAAATAGGCTATGTTCGGCGATCGTTAGAAACTTTTTCTGGTTTCGATGTTCTCGTGAATGGAGCAATATTAGGACGACGCGGGATCGACACGACAACTGGTTTGATAGTCGTATGCCGTGGTTGTCAGACCTCTTTACAAAACAATGCTACGCCCACATCGGCTTTGAGCCGCTTATACTCGCCAGATAATGCTTCAGATGAGGAATAACTTTCATACTGTATATAAAATTGACGTTACTTAATATTTTTAAGCTGTTCATGCATAAAGACGGAACATCACTATATTTAAACCCAAATTGCTTTCCAGTTTGTCAGTTAATGATATCCTAACTATGAACGGTAGAGAGATTTGATAGTTTTCGCGAATGCTATGGATGCCCAAAATTTCGACTACAAAAGCTTAACAATTGGTTCTTTCGAAATTTCTTGTTTCAGAATCTCCAATTCTTCGGTCAATCAAATATATTCAACCATCTGCACTATACGATAA